TCTAGTTCAGTTCTAGTTCAGTTCTAGTTCAGTTCTAGTTAAGTTCTAGTTAAGTTCTAGTTAAGTTCTAGTTCAGTTCTAGTTCACTTCTAGTTCAGTTCTACTTCGATTCTAGTTCAGTTCTACTTCGATTCTAGTTCAGTTCTAGTTCGATTCTAGTTCAATTCTAGTTCAGTTTTAGTACAAATAACCCTCCTGTTCATCATCATTAAAAAGCGGCAACAAAAACAGCTGTAGTATTTAGTATTTGAAAGAGCAGCAACGGTAGTAGACGGAGAAAATTCATTGCCAACTTTATTATTATGAAAAACTTCTTAAAAAACTGGGTTGTGTTTTTTGTTGTTGTTTTTCTTTCTTATTATTTCTTTTCATCTTTCGGGCTCTTGTTTCTCTTTTTTTAATGTGTACATTTTCATTAAAATCTCACCCACAACATTCAATTCAAACACACAACCATTTAAACAAGCCCTTTTCTTCATTTCTGTGTGCAGTTGTTTCCGTTTCCGCTATATATTCAGTTTCTTGAATATTTTTGCTCATTTTCATTTTGTGGTTTGAGTTCAGTTATGGCGTAAATGGGTGTTCGTGTTGTTTTTTTTTTTAACTGTTTTCGTGATTAAAAACAACCCGGCAATGAATGAATGAAGAAATTGTATGAGTACAAAAGCATTCCAAGCAAAATTTAGCTTGACGGGGAAGAAATAAAAAGCAGCAACAGAATCATTTTCACTAAGATTTTTATTTCGCGCCATAATTTCATTTCTTACTCATTTACTTGTTGTTGTTGCTGTTCCTGTAGTTGGGGGTCTTATATTATTTTTCTTAATGTTTATAAATGGTTTTTTTTTTGTTTGCCTCGTTGTTTCTCACTCTCAACCTTCACATTTTCTTTTGTCTCATTTAAGCGGTCCTCAACTTTTTCGTCTTCTTCTTCAGCAAGAGGAAGAAAAAATTAAACTTGGAGAAAATTACTTTGTTGTTGTTTTTTTCTGTTTCATTTAGATTTTTTTTGTATTTAAAAGGTTAATGAACTAACAACTTTCATTACTACCGCCGCCCACATTAGCACGTGTTTTTCTTGAGTATATTTTTTTCCCCACTTGCCTTTAACTCATTATGAAATTGTGTTTATAACAGCTTTTTTGTGCTTCTTCTTATAGCACTTTTATTTTCCTATTAGTATTATTTACTACATTTTTTAATAGTAGTAGTACTTGCAGAAGCTCTGCTGAAGAATGTCGTTTACTGGCATACTTTCATTTCTAGGTTTTCTTGCCTTTTAGTGTAAATCTTCGAATGCCAAGGCAGTGTTAAATTGTATGAAAGTTCTTAGAAGTGCATCAGATTTTTATGAATGAAAATATATGATGCGGCCTCTTCATTTATTAATTTTTTCTAGAGTGTAACAACATTTGAATGGAACAACATTATCTTCTAAGAGGATAAACTTGTGATGATATCCAACTGTAATAAAATGCAATTAATTTTAATGTTTAGGTAAAGGTCTTAAACTCAATTTTGAACTCGAAATCTCTAACATGTCTACAACATTCGATCCACTCTTACATAGAGTGATAAAAAATATACACGCCTGGTACCAAATTGGCACCAACATTTTTCATTAACATCCGTTGTGTAAGTATTTACATATATACCTACGACAACACTATGTAACGTTGACAACGCAATGTTATCAACATTGCAACAATTCGTTGTCAAAATTTAAATTTGTTCCCCTCTGAGTAGGTTATAGGAAACTCTCGTGTTTTTCGTATTTTTTTTTTCGTTACGTGTTAACTGACTGCAATATGTACCTCGGTAATGGGTTATACTTACATAACCACTTACTTTTCAATGAGTACTACTTACCGTCAACATTACTTTGAAGTACTCTAGTAATGACTTTCTTTCAATCTTTATTTTCTCCTATTCGTAAGCGAGCGTGAAAGTACTTGACTCCAATGTCATCACCGTGTTAAAATAATGCGTTAAAATGCTAATGAAGAAGTAGTGAAAACAGGTTTTATTAGCATTTTAACTCATTACTTTTCAATGTAAGTTTTTCCTGGGAAGTATACATTCCACAGAATGTATAAGCTCTCATGGACTTTATTTTTTGTTAAAGCATATAAAGTCCTTTCAGTTAGAAATATCGATTAAAGATTATGGAATTGAAAAAAAGGGTTATATAAGTTTGTCATTCCGTATGTAATTTTCCGGAAATAACAAAGACTATATATATTCTAGATCTTTATAGATAGTTGAGTCAATTAAGCTATGTTTGTCCGTCTGTCTGTGTATCTATTGAAATCATATTTCAGAAAAACCCATATATCTTTGGAATCTAAATCTTTTTGAAATACCTTCAGGCTTGCTTTCAAGAAGTTTCCTATTAAAAATCAGCAAAATCGGTTTATAAATAACGGAGTTATGAGCAAAAATAAGAGATAGCCTCTGAAAATTTCGTCTCTAGACGAGAATTTTATTTAACATTTTACTGAACATAGACACAGATCATTAGAAGATACAGACTCATAAACCGCTCTACTAAGATCGAGTTGTGGCTAAAAGTAAAGGAAACAACCGATCGTGTACCTTAGTGTCGCCCTTAACTTGAACGATACACTCTGTTAGGGAAAGGAATAGATAGTTCCCAGTCTTAAGCCGCTTTTAGGTCATAAACCCAAGTTGACCTTTCTTAGCAAAGGTTTACTTTTTGTTCCAAAATAACAATAAGTTTCTTTGAAAAATATTTCGTTCTTCAATAATTTTGAGCACAAACCCATAATAATATTTTTCTTCAGACTACTACTGACAAATATATATAATATAGAAATGTTTTAAACTATTAAAGTACATTTATTACATCCTTCAAAAAATGCATGCATTTATACTATGATAACACAGCGATCTATCTTAACATCAACCTCATATCATTAACGGATTAATCTGCTAAAACCTTTTGAAAAAAAACACACTTTAAAAGAAAACCTGCTTTAGGTAAATGTAACCATTCAAATGGAACAAATAAAAACTAAACAAAAAAGAATAAAAGGATGCTACTGCTACTGATTATTTATGAGAGTATAAAACATATGATTTAATAATATATTACCATACCTACACACATACATACATATACATGCATACGTACAACACCAAGGACATGCGTAGAAATAACACATAAACAAAATAAACAGGAATATGTTTAAACAATAGATAGAAATAGAAAGCAACCATAAAATCTATAATCAAAAATCATAATGCGTGAAGTGGATGCTGGATAAATTACACGTATAAAAACGCAAATACATACATATACAGCGGTATAAACATGTGTGTACTTCTATGCAGATATAAAACCTAAGGATATTTGCATTATAAACTGATAGAAGTACGATTATACATATTCAAATGATATCGCTTTGCATGCAGTATAATGTGTTTCTGTTTTAAATAAATACACAGATGATGCGTAAAAGGATGAGTTGAATTAGTTTTTTTTTTCTGTAACACATTAACCCTTTGAAAGTTATTTATTTTTTGTTTTTATTTTAGGGAGCAGAGTATTTAGTTTCGTTTTCAACATTTTTGGGAATGTTAGTAATCAGTTAAGCGTTTAATTTGTATTGAAAATGTTCTATAGGAAAAGAGTCTTCCTTAGAAAGACCTTTTCAATAGGAAAATAGTCTTCCTTAGGAAAACCTTTTCTATAGGAAATGAGTCTTCCTTAGGAAGACCTTTTCTATAGGAAAAGAGTCTTCCTTAGGAAGACCTTTTCTATAGGAAAAGAGTCTTCCTTAGGAAGACCTTTTCTATAGGAAAAGAGTCTTCCTTAGGAAGACCTTTTCTATAGGAAAAGAGTCTTCCTAAGGAAGACCTTTTCTATACGAAAAGAGTCTTCTTTAGAAAGACCTTTTCTATACTAAAAGAGTCTTCCATAGGATGACCTTTTCTATACGAAAAGAGTCTTCTTTAAGAAGACTATATCTTTACGAAAAGAGTCTTATTTATGAAAACCTTTTCTATACGAAAAGAGTCTTCTTTAGGGAAACCTTTTCTATACGAAAAGACTTTTATACGAAATCTTCTGTAGGAAGAACTTTTCTATACCAAAAGAGTCTTCCTTAGGAAGACCTTTTCTCTATACGAAAAGTGTCTCGTTTAGGAAGACCTTTTCTATACGAAAAAACTTCTATACGAAGTCTTTTGTAGGAAGAAATTCTCTGTTCGAAAAGAGACTTCTGTATGAAGACCTTTTCTATACGAAAAGAGTCTTCCTTAGGAAGACATTTTCTTAACGAAAAGAGCCTTCTTTATGAAAACCTTTCTTCTACGTCAAGAGTCTTCTTTAGGAAGACCTTTTCTATATGAAAAGAGTCTTTCTTAGGAAGAACTTTTCTATTCGAAAACAGTCTTCCTTAGGAAGACCTTTTCTATTCCAAAAGAGTCTTCCTAAGGAAGACCTTTTCTATTCGAAAACAGTTTTCGTTAGGAAGACCTTAGGATACCTCTTCTGTAGAAAAAGAGTCTTCCTTAGGAAGACCTCTTCTATACGAAAAGAGTCTTCCTTAGGGAGACCTCTTCTATACGAAAAGAGTCTTCCTTAGGAGCAGCTCTTCTATAAGTAAAGAGTCTTCCCTAGGAAGACCTCTTCTATATGAAAAGAATCTTCCTTAGGAAGACCTCTTCTATACGAAAAGAGTCTTCTTTAGGAACATCTTTTCTATACGAAAGGAGTCTTACTTAAGAAGATCTTTTCTGTACGAAAAGAGTCTTTATTGGGTACACTTGTTCCATTCAACTTTTCTTAGGACTTTTCTATGGAAATGAAGCCTTCCAATGGAACACTCTCTTCTCAGGAAGATATTCTGTTATAGAAAGAGAGTCCTCCTTGGGGAACATTTTCTATAGAATAGTATAGGATATTGGAAGGACCTTTCATTGAAACCCTCTTTTATTTAAACTTACCAATCTAACATACATTTTTTTTATTCCAGATTCTTATAAACCAATCCAGCTGAAGCAGTTTCAAACTTGTTGACTTGGTAAGTGAATTTTTTCTATCAACAAACTATAAGAAAGGATATTTACGATTAGAAACTATTATTTCGTTTTGTCCTTTTAATACACTTCACATATAATGAAATAGTGAATGCATGTGTTTATGTGTTACCACATGTTGGTTATTTTCTATAATACCAAAGGCTTAAAAAAACACAAACGTTACATTTGTGAACCTCTTTTGTAACTTCATGTAAATGTGTTAAATGTTTGGCCATAAATCAAGAATTACAAAAAATAAAAAAAAACACACACACTACAATAATAACCCCTTGATTCGTTTTTCGCAAACAATGAAACGGGGTAATCAAAAATGTTTTGAATGTAATAAAACGTAACGAAATATACAAAAAATATGAATATTCATAAAAATCAAACAACCATGAAACTTATGCTTTATAGGCAAAGAAAAAATCAAAATTAGAAAAATTGCAAATAACTCAAAAAAAAAACTCATTGAACTATTAAAAGGCAAATTTATATTAATGGGCCAACGTTAAAGGTATTGGATTATCAAGCCAACCCCTATTTGGCAAATCAATGAGCTAAAATTTCCATTTCAAAGATAACATAAAAGAATTTTATTAGTTTCCAACAAACAGATAGCAAAGTCTGAAACTGAAACATCCTTTTTTTCGCAAATGCAAAATTTGTTTAAAAAAAAGTAATAAAAGGATGTGCGTATAACAACAACAACAACAAAAAACAAAAAATTTAAAAGCCTAGAAAACCACTTTTGATGATTTTACAGTCTGATTTAATCAATAGCAATAAATCGCACATTAAATGTAAACTACAATGTATTTTTAACATTCATTGTCCTTCGGTAGTATTTAACAAAAGGATGTTTAGTGTTTTTCAAGTATCAGTTCAGACTCTGTGTTTTTTTGTATTTCTCCACTAAAACTAAGAACATCCTTTTGTTTGCAAAAAAAAAAAAGTGATCATGTAAGGGGTTTGTTGTGATTTTGCGCTTGTTAAAAATTTCCTGTTGCTGTTGCTAGGATTTTAAGAGTTCAAGGGTTAAATAAATACTGATATTTACAAAAAATAATAGAATATTACAAGCATCGATACCTGACTTTTTGCCACATAATATTTCGTTATTGTTTGTGTTATTTTTGTTTAAACAAAAGTAAATCTCAAGTAGTTTATTATATTTGTTAATAATTTTCTTTATTTAGTTTTGGTGATAAAACTAAAGGAACTAAAGGTCACATTCCAAAGACTTTTCATAATTTTGATTTGATATATAAGTTCATCTAAAAAATCCAGACAGACACTATTAAATCCAAACAGATAGAGATTTTAAGTCGTTTGGAACATCCTTAGGTTGGTGTTAATCCAATATTTTTGTTCGTTATAAACAGTATTTACAACGCATAATATCCTCCAGCCTATAATAGTGCGTAGAGTATAAATAATTGCCGAGATATCATCGGTTGAATTTGACGGACGGACGGACAGACACTATTAAATCGAGTCTGAAAGATATTTTAAGTCAATTGGAACATCCTTAGATTGGTGTGGATCCAATATTTTTGTTCGTTATAAACAATATTTACAAAGCATAATATCTTCCGCACTATAGTAGTGTAGGTTGTAAATAATTGCTAAGATATCATCCGTTTAAGTTGACGGACGGACCGACACTATTAAATCGTGTCGGAAAGTGATTTTAAGTCGTTTGGAACATTCTTAGGTAAGTGTGGTTCCAATATTTTTGTTCGTTATAATCAATATTTACAAAGCATAATGTCCTCCGCACCATAGTAGTGCGAAAGGTATAAATAATTGCTGAGATATTATCCGTTGAAGTTGACGGACGGACAGACATTATTAAATCGTGTCAGAAAGTGATTTTAAGACAATTGGAACATCCTCAGGTTAGTGTGGATCCAATATTTTTATTCGTTATAAACGGTATTTACAAACCATAATATCCTCCACCCTATAGTAGTGCGAAGAGTATAGATAATTGCTGAGATATCATCCGTTGAAATTGACGGACGGACAGACACTTTTAAATCGAGTCAGAAAGAGATTCTGAGTCAGTTGGAACTTCTTCAGGTTGGTGTGGATCCAATATTTTTGTTCGTTATAAACAGTATTTACAAAGCATAATATCCTCCGCAGTATAGTAGTGCGAAAGGTATAAATAATTGCTGAGATATCATCCGTTGAAGTTGACGGACAGACAGTATTAAATCGATTAAGAAAGTGATTTAAAGTCGTTTGGAACATTCTTAGGTTGGTGTGGATTCAATATTTTTGTTCGTTATAAACAGTTATAACGAACGGTTTAAATAATTGCTGAGATATCATCCCTTGAAGTTGATGGACAGACGGACATTATTCAATCGAGTCTGAAAGTGATTTTAAGACAATTGGAACATCTTCAGGTTGGTGTGGATCCAATGTTTCGTTATAAACAACATTTACAAAGCATAATATCTTCCGCACTATAGTAGTGCGAAGAGTATAAATAATTGCTGAGATATCATCCGTTAAAGTTGACGGACAGACAGTATTAAATCGATGGGCACATTCATAGGTAGGTGTGGATCCAATATTTTTGTTTATACAAAGCATTATATAGGTAAATGGACTCGATGTTAGCCAACCCAATACCGATGTAGTCAGACAAATTATTGACAATTAACTGAAGAATTGTTTATATGGAGTCTAGGACCTGCTATAGGCCGATCATCAGAAAATAGAGTGGAGGTATCAGGGTTTTTAATAAAACTGATTCATGGCGAATTACTAGCCACTTGTTAAGGAAGACTCTTGTATGGGGAAACGCAGTCTGCTTTCAAAATATAATTTGTGCGAAGCAAAATTTGTCCAGTTATTACGAGCCTTGCTCACTAAGGTTTATTTTGTTACAGAGACTTCGACTAAGATAGTGATTCTGAGCCGATTGATATACGATAAGGTAGATATATAATACCTAACTAACTATAGAAGTATAAAAACCTTTTAAATCTCGCTTATTCGAACATTTCGATGGAATATTTTTCGATCTTTTATGTTATCAATTTAAGATATTATCGTCCTTCTCTTGCGACAACCAAATTATTTTGACACTTTTCTCATATAAAGGTAGTTAATCCCAGCAAAAACTCGGTAATGACTTGTACTTCAACAATAACTTACTTTTCATTGACTACTACTATTTGAAAGTACTTATAAAGAAAGTCATTATAAAGACTTACCTGTAATCGGATACCTAAGTGCTGTATTTGATAGCTCACTAGCAACTGTTTGTTACACACACAGAAAGAAAACAGGTTTTCTGTGAAACCATTAAACAAAACAACTTTTCAACTCCCTGTGAGTAAGAACTTATTTAAGTAGTTCTTTATAAGCGAGCATGGTATGTACTTGTCTCCAATGTCAACACCTTATTAAATTATTGAGCGGCTTCTTTAGCTTTCTGATTCATTACATTTCAATGCAAGTTTATGCTGGGTTAGTTAAGGTTATTCTTTGGTAATTCTATTTCCTTTTCACTAAACACAAGCTAGAATTCCTCTTATCTGTAGGTGGAGTTTTCAGTAAGTACATGAAAAATTACCTAAAAACAATATATTCATATTTGTCATCAATCAAACCAGGATTAGAATAATAAAGCCCTTTTTCATAAACAGCCAAAAATTTGTCATACTTAATGCAAAAACTAATCCAGCCTAAGGATAAACAAAAAACTAGTATTCAAATTTGAAAAAATAAAAAGAAATCACATATCTATACTCTCAGTATACAATTTTCAAAATACCGATTGATGTTGAAATTACGTGATAAACAGCTCAGCTGTCAAGGCTCTGTATACGCAAAAAAAGGGTTTACCTTCATCGTCTTATAATTTATGCGCGAGAGTAAACGCCTCATTGACAAGCCGGCAACAGCAAAAAAATAACGACCAAGATCCTGTAGGAAAAAAAAACTAGCATATGATCACTAGCATTAAACCTTTTAACTCTCTATTTTGCACACAAACACACACAGTAGCATCTGGGGGTTAAAACTAAATGCCTGCATAACCAGATCTAAAGTCTAAAGGATGCTTTTTTTTTATTTTGTATAGAAATGATAATTTCAAATGAACCCTCTTCACGTTGAGATCTATACGACAGAGTACAACATGCTGTTTACCTTTTTTGAATATGAAAGGATTTTGTTTTAGGTTTTTTATGTTTTTTAGAATAAATTAAAATTTATTATAATTTACATACGTTAAGGATCATTAAATTTGAATATTTTTATTTAAATTTAGCTTCGAAATAGAAAACAGGGGGTTTTTAGGGAATTGTTGAAATTTTGAAATTTAGTTTTCTCTTAACAACGATACGGGTAACAGTAACTGAAATTTTGAAATAGTTATATATTTTGAAAAAAAAAAAATAAATTTAAAAAAAAAATAAAATTTAAAAAATTTCAATAAAAAAGTGTTACAGTATAATTTATTTACAAGCAAAAATCAAAAAGCACCCACTGTATTTTGTGTTTATACTTACATATACATATCTCCAACTTTGGATTATCTTTTAGCGTGATTACCTCTACAATTTTGTTTCTTAAAAGGAATTAATAGCAAAATAAGATAAATTAAATCAATTAAAAGTTGTAAACAACATTTAATTTTGTTTTAAATTATGAGTTGTAATCAACAGGTAACAATTATTAAAACCACTTTAAAACATGGTCATAATTATGGGGACTTTAATGACACACGCTCACCAAGTAAGCGGGTAAGTAGTAGTATTTAGTTGTTAGGAATTTGTAAACGTTTTGCTTTTTAAAACAAATCTCTTAATTGCCTTAAAGTGGTTAACTAATATTGAGAATGTCTTTCCATTAGTGATGATAAAGTGGGTGTCTGTTTGGTATGAATCAATGATTTTATGATTTTCTTATTTCTATCTAAACTAGCGCACAGCTAATATCCATTTCAATCACCTGTCCACCTCTATCGAAATTC